CCGCACCGCATGCGCCGAGCGACATCGACGAATACGCGGCGTTACGCATATGCATGTTTCATGAGAGTTCGGGCGCGAGCATGTTTTGTTTCTTGCACGCGGTCAGAGATGCGCCGTGCACCGCGCCCCGCCGACGAGCCTTTCGCTTTCAGTCTCGGAGGGCCCACCGCCGTCGGGCCGGGAGGCCCAGAGGACGAACGCACCCGCGTCACGGGTGGACAAAAGGTCTGGCGCGTACGTGTTCCCGTGAACGGGCAGGGACTGCACCGTGTTGCATAAACGAGCCGCGCGCGGGTCCTTGTGGGAGCGCGGGGGAATTCCCTCGATCGGGCCGCCAGGAGCTGCTGCAGCCATTTCATTGCGGCGCCGGCGATTACGGTGTATTAGAGTACACGACGGGGGCGGGTCTGCCGGGCGGGGCCGGGCTCGCCGACGGCGGAAGTGACGACTTGTGGAGTGGATCAGCGAGCGACGACGACGCCCTGATCGTCTTGGCCGATTACCTCCGGACTGCTGCCGGAGCGAAGCTCAAGGACCGTATCAGTGGTCGCGGGTCAGGGGGGCAGTCCTTCTCGTTGTGCTGCGTCTAGCCGGACGGGGGACGACGAGGACGGGGCGGGCACACACGATCGAGGTAATCGCCAATTGGATTGTGGAGGGAGGAGGGGGAGGGGTGTCTCTGGCCACGGGGAGGGTCCCCGTCGTGGACATCACCAAGGCCGCGATCATTTTCGCAAGTCGCCGTGTCCGCCACGGGATGCACCAAGCGTAGAGGCGGGCGTGGCGTGGGTGGGTGGGGGAGGCGGGGGAGCGATTTGCAAGCAAGAGCGACCAGCTACTCATTATCTGCGCTTGGGCGCGCTCGCGGCGCTGCCCCGGGCGTGCCCCGGGTCGGGCTACGCTGCAGGCGTGCAGCTCCCCTGGTCCATGCCGGGCTCCCCCTCATGCACCCCGGCACCTCTTCGCGATGGCCCGGGCGGTGGTCGCCCACACGCGTTCGACGAAAACCCTTCCGTCAGCCCTTTGTGTCGCCCTGCCCGTCGGCCGCAGCTGGCGGGCCCTCGTCCTTGGCACCTGCAGGTGCGTGCCCCCCATCCCTCATGCGTGCCGCGCCGGTGCAGCCCCGGTGCAGCGGCAAGGACGCTGCGCTTCCGTCTAGGCGCGCGTCGCTCCAGAGTAGCGTCCTGAGAGGGATGTCATCTGCCTGTGCGTCTCCAGGTCCATCACCTATATCAGAGACGCGGCCGAGGAGCCCCCGTGGCCCGTGGCTGCTTCTCAATTGAAACGGAGGGAAGACCAGCCTGGACAGGGCGGGCGCGGCGCGGGCGCTCCGACACAAGGTCGCCGCGGTCGCTTTGCTCTCTGCTCGGGTGAACTTCGGCTAGGCTCGGCGGAGCACTCGGCTCGCCGGCGGCAACGTGCGGCGCACGGCGGCGGCGGGCGCGTCTGGCCTGCAGGCGGGGCGGGCCGCGGGCGGGACGGGCGCAGCGCACCTGAGCCTGGCGGCAGCCCGCGGCAGCCCGGCCGTGCAGGTGACATCACACAACGCAACACGGTGGAGGGGGCGGGGGCCGCAGGGCGGAGGGGACGGGAGCGGGAGTACCTCGGCGAACAGCCGCTTTAACCGCGATGCCCAGGCCGGCGTGCTCCAGTCCATCATCACTTTGGCCGCGGGTCATGTCGCGAGCGTGACACCGTGACACGGCTGCGATAGAGTTGTGTGACGGGCCGCGTCACCCCCGTGACGGTCGAGACCTGAGAGAGACGATCTTCGAACGACCCTAGCGACGTAGTACGAATCGACCGCCCCGAAAGAGACGTCGCCTCCGCGTCGACCTATCCTCCCCCGCGGTGGCGAGGACTAACCCCCAGTCCAAGGAGTAGCCTCTTGCCTTGGAACCGCCCCCTGATCAGGGTGTCCTAGTGGTGGGTGAGCACCTTGGTGTCGGCGCTCACGTGCCTGCGGACCTGCCGGCTCATCTCCAACACCACCACCTCAGGGAACGCCCCTGGGCCAACAGGCACGACTGCAAAACGGTGAGACGCTCCTTTAGGTATTGTCATTGTCCTTCTCCCACCTCATCAAATTTATTCTCGCGTTAATGGGTTTAATTGTGTTTGGTCTGTACGTGATTGTGGGGTGGGTGATATTGCCCTGTACCCATTCTGATTGAACCGTAGGGCGATACAACTCCACAGTCGCAAACTCCAACTCCCCCAACTCCCTGCTCCTCGCCCGGCGCTGTCCGGCCCCGACCCCGCGGGGCTCAGCGGCTCCCAAGCCCAAGGCGCCACCACCGCCGCCACTCAGCACTGTACTGTCAACGTTTTTATTCGCTCGCGCATGCGACAACGCGTCTCCTTGGAAGCTTTTCCCATTCGTCTAGTAGTAGACCCCTCCTCTCCAAAACCGCACTCACGTACGGGTCGCGTACGACACACACACACACCAAAAAAAATCATACACGGACGGTCGCGCGCACGCACAAGTATGCGTCTAAGAAGGCGGGGTCAGGCGTGCCGGTGAAGGATGTGCATCCATAAGGCTCGTTATTGCCGTGAATCCCGCCTGCTGGCAGGTGGTGATGATGATGATGACGAGACTTTTGTCGCCACCAGTCTCACCGCATGTCCCCCTGCTTCTCGGGCCGGGCGGTGGGCTGGTCTTCCCACTACCAAAAATATGTATTCACTTCAGAAGTAGTGCGACTGGTCAAGAACTAGTTTAAATTGTGATGGCAAAACACTCGATTTTGGATCACGAAGAAGAGTTTGGATTTCACAGATACTCCGTTTCAGAGCAAAGTGTTGGGAAATCACAAAATATTTTGAACAGTGTGCGGCGTTCGTCCTGGTGATGTTGATGATGATGGAGATGACTTTGTCATCACCGGCTCCACCGCACACGTCTCCTCCTGCTTCCTGGCGCGCGTGCAGGCAAATGCACCGCGAGATTCTGCACAGGGTCGCCGGCCACGCCACGCCACGCCGAGCCGTGTCGCGAGCCGAGATGGACACGATACGCGAACGAAACTGTCAAGGTACAAAGTCGCTCGCTCGCGGCCGGTCTTCTTCCCGACGCTCTTCACGTTCTGCTTACGCGAAGGAAATCATAATTCCTGCTGACTGAATTTTAAGTACTTATTTCGTTTGCGTCAAGCCAAAGCATTTTGGGGAAATGGACGCGATCTGCACACTGTTTATTGCACTAAACACAGAAAGCGACAAAAAATTAGGCGTGATCAGACGTAAACCAACACTCTCATGATGGAGAGAAGTTGCGACTTCTCGCTTGGGCAAAAATGGAGTTTCAAATGACGTCACAAAAATGAGAGTGATTCAGCTCAGCTCGTAAATAGAGATCGTTTCAGTTTTAAAAAATCTTTCTTTACTTAGCGCTCCGCGCGAATACATCGGCTGTTTCCACAAGTGCTGAAAACGGGGACGGTGCACTGGTGTTACTCTGCCTGTGAGTGTGACAAGGTATAGGTAGAGAGGAAGGGGAGAGGGTCGAGCATGGCGAGACCCAATGGGAGACTAAACAACCGCGCCGAGGTGCAGTGCCGCACGGAGAGAAAAGTTCTGGCCTGACAACAAAAATGAGTTTGGATTGTTCCTGTTTTGTCAGTGCACCTGATCAGTTTCGGTGTCAGACCGAAACCTTTAGACTCGGCATCAGAACCTTTGATGACCATGCGTAAAAAAGTTTGGATAGTTCTTTTCTTTTAAATCTGTCCAAACTTTTGAGCGTGCGGCCCGAACTTTTTTCTCCGTGCGTGGCCTGGTGGCGGAATGTGGGGAGAGCACGCCTTTTAGTGCCAGTTTGTGTGCGGGAGGTGTGAGTGTGTGTGTTAGTATATATGTTTCCGAGAGGGAAAGGGGAGAGACCGTGGGGGGCGAGACGTGTAGGAGGTGTAGATAATTGTTAGCCGGAAGACGTAAAAGTAACAACAACAAAAATCCGGCAAACACTTCTTTTTTGCACTTTCTCGCGCTGCTCGCACACACTTGAGCCTTCGCTGCTCTCGCTTCTTTTACGGGGTTGACGCCGATCACGACCGGCCGAGCGGCGAGCCCGAGTGTCGACAGGGCACCTGCTTTGACTTTTCTTCTGCCTGTCGTAGTTTTCTTTTTCTTTTAAAAGTTTTTACCGGCTTGTCCTTCCTCCAGCGAGTCCGACCTGCACGCCTGCATGTCGAAGAGCCTGTAAAGGGTTACTCGTTCCGCCGGGGAACGGGCTGACTCGTACTACGTTACTCGCCCCTCTGGCGATTCGTCCTCACCAATTGGTCACATGGTTACTCGTCCCATGATTTTTCGTTGGGTGAACTTTGACCACTCGATCCTCTTCTTTGTAAGGAAGAATGGGTCAAGTAAAGTGACACTTTTTGAATTTCGAACTTATTTTGCTTGTTTTCGGTGAAATGTTGTGCGCGAAAGCTTAGATAGTTACGTAGTGTTAGTGTGTGTGTGGGGGGGGG